TTTAAACTGGGTGTTCGGATTTACGAGTATATGTCACTTAGTATACTTGAAATGTAAAGTTTATTTACCAAAAATACAAGGGTGGATCAAATATTATTCGGAGTTCTTTTTTAATATTTATTTATTCATGAAACAATACAAAAATGCTTGTATAAACTTGGAGGTTGAGTGACCAACCAATTGCGCAGGAAGTTCTCCACATCTCGACCGTTGTCAAATAGTAAGTGCATATTTCATGGGCGCAAACAAATGATAGTCACATGGCGATAAATCTGGGCTGTATGGAGGATGCTCAAGAGTTTCCCAATGCATATCCTCCAGTTTTTGCTTCGTTAAAGCGGCTGTATGTGGCCTGACATTGTCATGAAGGAGGATGACATTTCTGATGGGGACACCGCGTCTTTTGCGACTGTATGCGACTTCCGTTGAGCAGCACTCTCTTGCAGTCTAAAAAGATGGTTGCGAGGACCTCATCGACTGAGAGACAGGTTTTGGCTTTCACGGGGCCGGTTTCATCTTTTCTTCGAAATTCTTCACTCGCCACCTTGGACGCAGGAGTGTAATGATACACCCATGTTTCATCACACATTATATACGATAGGATTGAAAAGCCAAAAAAATTAGAAAAATGTATTAAAGTAATATACCCCCAAAAAGTTATCCGTTGTTCTAAAAAAAAACTTATGGCAGCTCAAGGATCAAAGTCATGGTCAAATGCAGCTTAATAATTTAAATTCATATGGCTAATAGCGCAAAATGTATCAATACATCTATTTATTAATAACTGTCTCTAATAAAATAATTTTCTTGCTTATTAAATACAATTTTCCGAAGAAAAACAGACAAACAAAATCCCTCACACAACCGGCAACGTCGGACTCCGCCTGCACTGCATGTATCATCGCGTGTTGTTGTGATTACTAATACATTTAACTGTAACTTTATGTGATTTACGGATGTTCTTTTTCTTTTTTCGTGCATCACATCGTTTCAAATAAGTGACTGATAATCGTGGGCGCTGGTGGTGTGTATCGCCACGTACCGGTGAGTTCTGTCATTTTTTTTAAGTAAATGTACTGTACTGAAAGCGTTATTAAATAAAAAATATTAGCCACAAAAAATTGCGCAAAATAATTCAAGGCATATTTTCAACAAAAATATCATACAAATGTAAACAATCAATGAATCAGTTGTGGTCATCGGGCGCTCGTATCGCGGTTGCGTTGCAGCGTTGCCAAATGTTTAAGGAAATTTAATTATTTACGAATCAATTTCTTCTAAAACGATTGATTTTCGGACATAAGTTATAATGAACATTTTTGCTTAGATTAATGCAAGGAATCGCCTCTTAAAGTTATGAATATTGTTTCCCTAACACCCTGTATAACTATTCATAAGAGAGTCAATCAAAATATTTAACCTGTTTACATCAGAGTCTTTTTTGCTCAAGAAAAAGGGGTGGTTCCCAGCAAAATTGGCAACAACCGGCTACAAAATAGCTACAAAGCTGGAAGAGTACAGATGGTGGTTTTCTTCGATGCCTTCCCACTAAAAGGAAGCGGATATTGAGCAAACTTCTTCTGGACATGCATTAATACACATGGTCAGATGGTATAAAAAAAGAACCGCCATAAAAGTGGACGTAGGCTAGCACCAAACAACCAAAACAAAGGTAAGGTAAGTACGAGAAAGGGTACTACTCCATACACTGGTGATTACGGCCGAATATCGCAAAATTAACCGAACCTACACATACAACATCACTGGTTGCCTATGGGCAGACCGTAGGATGTGATATTTCCCAAAACAACAGGTAAAAGAAATCAGCTTACGAGGAACTAACGATATGAGATGAAATTGCCCACGAAATTTTAACACAATATTCAATCGCTAAGATAGAAGGATATAATATATGTGAAATTATACTTTCAGGGTTAGGTAGTTTTGAGCACAATAGATCAATAAATTTTGAAATTTGCCAAAAGGAAATCATTGAGAAGGGTTTGGCCTAGCAATCGGTACTCTATCATTAATAAAGATAAATTCAAACTACTGGTTGTGCCATTTTGGTAAAGTACTTGAAACTTCCTTTTTTCTTTTTCTGTGTTATTTTGCCGCAAAATAGCTGTGGTATTGCAAACGTAGTTGACTCTGTAAAGGAAAGTCCCTTCAGGACACCCTGTAGATATAGATTTGCTGCTGAATAATTTTTCAATTAATGCTAATATACTAAGTGACATATAAATCCGAACACCCAGTTTAAATGGTTTTATTTTAATAAAATGTTGTATAAGTACTTAATGAAGCATAATAAGTAAATGATAAAAATTTCAAAATGATTGCACTGCTTTAAAGCCCTTTGACCTTTAATAATGTGTGGATGCACCCTGATGTGCTACGCATTCTCCAACGCGCCTAGGCATGCTTCTGATCAGGTGGTCAATGTCCTCCTGTGGTATCTCATTCAAGGCAACCACCAACTCCTCTCGAAGTGCTTCTAGAGTCTGAGGACGACGTTGCAAATTGAGCAATCTCCTACCCATCATATCCCACACGTGCTCAATTGGGGATAAGTCGGGAGATCTTGGTGGCCATGGTAACAATGTGACATCATTATGTTGAAAGAAGTCTATTGTGACTCTTGCAACATGTGGTCGGGCATTATCTTGTTGGAAAGTTGGATCTGCCAGGGTGTCAAGATAGGGTAAAAGATGGGGTTCTAGAACTTCGTGGATATAACGCTGCGCGTTCATGTTACCTCTGATGAAGATTAAAGGTGACCTGGAACCATAAGCTATAGCACCCCAAACCATAACTCCAACAGTGTGATGAACATGTCTTTCAACAAAAAACTATGGATTCCTCCTTTCACCACGTCGCCTTCTAACCCTGGCACGACCATCGTGCATGCCTAAACAAAATCTAAACAAAATCGAGACTCGTCACTAAAGACAATACTGTTCCATTCCTGATCCCAGAGTGACCGTTGTCTGCACCACTCAAGGCGATTACGTCGGTGTTCTCGAGTTAAAGGGAGGACCCAGTGTGGCCGGTATGAAAACAAGCCAAAACTTCTCATTCGTCGGTAAACACTTCGCATGCCAATAGGTCTTCCGTGTTCTGCAAACCATTCATTTGCAATGGACCTGGTAGTGGAGAAACGGTCCCTTAAGGCCAATAATCTTAGGCGGCGATCTTCACGGTCTGTTGTTCTACGGCGGCGTCCAGTGCCCCTTGCTCTTTGCGTACGGCCTTCTCGAAGCCATGCCTGACAACATCTAACCACAGTGTCTACACTTCTTTGCACTCTAACTGCAATTGCCCGAAAAGAAAGTCCAGCTTCCCGAAGTCCCACTATACGGCCCCTATCAAACTCACTAAGTTGACGAAATCGTACAGGTCTCCGTACTCTAGGCATCGTAACCGATCGTAAAGGATGTCAAGAACCAAAATCCGCCAACGTTGATTCTTTACTGCGGCTGAAATATTCATTTTTAGAGCGTTAGTGAATTAAAAAAAGGAGTATAAAAACCGGAATGTTCAACTGATAAGGGTGAAAATTTTTTCACTTGTTATTTACGGTAAGATAAATACATTCACCTACTTTTATTAAAATAAAACCATTTAAACTGGGTGTTCGGATTTATATGTCACTTAGTATAGTATATACGAGATTTTTTTAATTTCAAATTTCTTGTGCGAAATGGCAGTCTTGTATCTTCGGATAAACACGAGCAGGCAACAATTCAGGCATTAATATTTTTTGTTTTTAATTCACTTCCTGACAGAACAACATAGTTAACAACTTTATACCCTTACCGAAGGATATATTAAGATATTGCTAGAAACTGCGTTAGAATACATATTATAGGATTTACCAGATCTTGTAGAGTCTCTTCTATCATACTCTTTACCGAAACATAGTGTGCTCCATATCTCAGGCAAATCTTCTTGGCCAATGTTGTTTTTCCAGAGGCCGGTGGGCCATGAAGAATAACCTTGAGAGGCTTCAAGTCATCCCGTTCCTTTTGTTCCGAAAGCCCATCTGAATCCATTTTCTAGCTATCTGAACTCTGTCAAAATGACAATTACGTATATTTGTAATGCACTTCGAGCTGGCGCTCTAGATCGTAATATTCAAGAATATACAGGGTGATTCAGCGTGGAAATATTTCTACAGCATAAAGTAGATCAAAAAATAACACAGAAAATTTAGTCTATAGTGGAATACCAAAATTTATGACGGTATCGAAACTCATCGCTGTACCTCCGCGTAAAAGCAGTGGCGCACGATGATTTCTGCTAGTGTCATCAATTCTGGCATTTGACTATAATTATTTAGCAAATTTCCCCGAAATAATTGTAAAGTTTGGTTTAAATGATGCAAGTTGTTGAAGGGGTTATTTAAAACATGGACGCATAAAATGGGTACACCAATTTTTATGGTAAAACTTTTATTCAGCAACAAATAATGAGGAAACCTGCTTTTGGGATTCAAACAAAAGTGTTAGCAGGAACAAAAAAATCTTCAAATAAGATTTTTAGGTGCATATTTATGAGACCTACAAAATGAGATCACACCTTATAAGATCTGATTAATAGCGAAAAAGTTATGGCCGAAAGCCAAAATGGAGATATTGGCACTTGTTGGTAAACAAAGTGTCAAGCAGTTACTTGAAATTCCTCACATCCATAGGCCTTATACTTCTTAATAACCACAACAAAATTGAAGTCGATTGGTTAAGTAGTCTTAGAGAATTTTAAAGGTCATAAAAAATGATTCTATACTGAAATGCACTTAACTGTTTATGAAGTTAGCACGCAAACTGAAGACACAATTATGTGTCAGCCTAGTTAGTATGTAGCATGTGCTGCATAGCTACATTATTGATAGCTGCATGGCTTTGTTCTTTATTCTGATTGTTTATAATACTCGTAGACTTGATGTACCGTAAACAGTCAGTGTGAAGTATTAGTGGTACAGGTGCGGCAGAGAGGATGGACGGTTTTAAAAAAAACATAAAATAGTTAATTTTTACTCAGTTTACTTGATGGAATCAGGTTCACAAGGAAATAGCATTTGAGACAGTCAAGTGTGGAAAATGAATCAGGCATGTGGTGGCCGAAATCGTTGATGCAGTGCTGAAGGCGTTCTTGGAAGGTCGCGAAGACTCTCTCCAACATCGCTCTCTCAACTTCGACTTCCACGCGAATTTCGCCCTTTAGTTCGTCCAGAGTTCGGGGCTTGTTCGCGTATACTCTAGCCTTGAGGTGTCCCCATAAGAAAAAATCGCATATAGATAAATCTGGGGACCGAGGAGGCCAATGAACATCGCCAAACCTGGAAATAAGGCGACCAGGGAAGGGAGGGCGAATAACGTCCATGGATATTCGGGCTGTGTGGGCGGTCGCCCCATCCTGCAGGAACCACACGCGTCGGATTGGTACACGTCGCCGTCGTAATTCAGGGAGAAAGAAGTTGGTGATCATGTCGAAGTGGCGCTCTGAGTTCACGGTAACATCACGACCATTACCGTCTTCGAAGAAGTAAGGACCAGTGATGCAAGTTTGCGATACAGCGCACCAAACCGTTACTTTTGGGCTGTGCAACGGTCTTTCGTGTAACTGTTGCGGATTTTCATTAGCCCAATAACGACAATTCTGCTATTTAACCATGCTGTTTAGGTGAAAGTGGACTTCGACACTCATAAACAAAATGAGGTTCTCATTTTGATCGAAGTGCGTCCATCCCACGTGCGAAGTTCATTCGTTGTGCATAATCTCCGGGCTGTAACTGTTGCACAATGGCCAATTTGTAGGGGTGAAAGTGGCCTTACCGAACGATCACTAAGGCGGAGTGCAGAAGCATGTTTCCGAGCAGATCGAATCGGACTGCGAAGAAAGACCTGTCGAACGCGTTCAACATTTTCAGGAGTTCGAACTGTTCGCGGCGCTCCTCTTGGTCTTCTGTTGATCAGTTCACCACGCCTGCGAAGTGATTCAACCCAACGAAGGATGATGTTTCGAGAGGGAACAGCTCTATTTCGATGAATGTTGAAGTCGCGACGAAACTCACGCTGTACGACAATGACTGACTCATTATTTTGGACGAAACAATCATAGGCGAAAACGTAGTGCTCCACCGTCCGAGGCTCCATAACGACAACTGGTAAAATAATGCTAGGATCTCAAGTCAAACGGCACCCTCCCCAACTCTCTCGTAGACGGAGGCGGAGAGTACTACCCGTCGCAAAAACGTCCGTCCTCGCTACCACACCCTGTATAAAGATCCAGTAGACCAAGAGAAGTCGTGGTGTGGTGGAAAGGATACAGGGTTGCAGACGATGATTCAAATCCACATCACTCCGTTTCTCTATTTATCTTTCTTTTTTCAAATTCAGTATAACAAAAGCTTTTTCACATTATAGCTAGCTCGAATAAGCATTCTGTAATTTTATATATGATCTCAAAGAATTTATCAAACAGAATTTTGGACAGCAACAGTGAGTCACCATTATTTTCAACAAAATGCAATTTAATTGCTAATATATCAATCTAGATACTGTATAAGATTTGTGTCCATGCTTCTAGTATGTCGCGAATGCATATTTTTCATTGGTGCATTATATGATCATGGCCGCTTATATAATGTCTGGACGCAAATGAAAAAATTTCGTAGCTAAGTGAAGTGAATTAATACGTATTTCTTAATTTAATATGAGAGTTGGGTGCAAATCTTATACTCACCCCTTACTGACATACAGGGTGTTCAAATTACAATTTCGAAATTGAAGACAAATTATATTTTGGGGGTGCATTAAAATATTGATGTAAAATTTTGTGCATTGGATTTAAACGCAACAGATCAACTACTTCAGCAATTAATGAGCTTATAGATCTCATTAACGAAGGCTTTGAAAACCATTCAAATATCAAAGCAGACCATTTCGATCGGTCAAAGGCTTTCGACTGTGTTCAGCATACTATTTCTATTGAAAAAAATACCATTTTAACACATTCATCAGGATAGTATTGCGATTTTACACATCCATCTGACAGGAAACAACTAGTGTGTTTTAATGGATGTTCTTGCAACACCAAAGTAGTAGTCCACGGAGTTCCTCAAGGATCCGTTCTTGGACTACTACTGTTCTTAATATACAGAGCTTCTCTTCAATGTCCCCCTCTCCTTTGATTTTTTGAACGGATCAATTAAAAAAATTAATACTTCAGGTAGTGAAATTGATGCGTGGTTACCATATTTTAGAGTTAAATTGACAGATGATAATGTCAAGATGGCCGCTGGGCACCATCTTGGGAAAAAAATTATATGGAAACCGGGGTCTTGTGACACATCATTTTGAAGCTCGAGTACTTTATAACCCTAGAATATAAAGTCAATGCCTTTACCTACTACAAAATGGTGTTAAACTTAGCGATTACCTGAATACATTGACATTTAACTTAATAATTCGAATAAATTCGTTGAGTTCAGTTTAGAAGATGCTTCAAATGGTTGCCTTGAACTTCTCGACACAATAACTGCCGGTCCATAATTTCGCGTCGTACATGTTTAAACATGGTAACATCGATAGTTCTACAAATATTTTTTATTCTCACCCGTATATCCAATATTGATGCAGGTTCAGTTTCGTACACGTTTTGCAACAAATAGCCCCATAAAAAAAAGTCTGAAGGTGTCAAATCGGGCGAGCGAGCTGGCCATTCCACAGGACCTCGACGGCCAATCTAGCGACCGGGGAAATTGTTATCTAAATAATTCCTAACTTATCTGGAGTAGTGTGATGGAGCACCACCTTGCTGGATTACAATATCAGTATCGAATTTATTAGGACTCGCTTCGACGATTTCGGAGATTAGGGGGTCAATAGTATTTTCTAGCATATCCAAATACTGTTCCCCGGTTAAAGTTTGTTCGATGAATAGAGGCCCCACAATATGAGTTTCCCGAAAGACGTGAGGATCGGTGTCACTCAAATAACGGCAATTTTGCATATGCACATTACCGTTGAGAAAAAATGTACAGTCGTCACTAAAACAAATATTTTGGATATAGGCAGGATGTCGTGCAATGGTTTCCGCCATAGTCTCGCAGAATTCTGTTCTTAAAAGTCTCCATACAGTAGAAGGACAAACCTCACATACATTCGCGATGGAGGAAGTAGACTTTTGGGGATTTACTATGACCTCACCAATCATTTGAACTTGCTTTTCTTCCGGGATGGTCGGATGACCTGGGGGCTTTTTGTTGTTTACACTAAGAGTAGATATAGATTTAGATACAAGTGTCCTTAAATATTTTCTACAGATAGGACGATTCGGGAAATGATCATTAAAAATCCGTTCGGTCTCGTGAAAGTTACGCGACGCTCCATTAATAAAAATCGCTTCCAGTTTTTCCTCCAATAGACGAGAATTGACCATTTTAAACATAGTTCAAACAGTATCTAGCACTAAAACCGAAAACTAAATAAGAATATTTTAACTGTACAATGATGTTTGGTTTCGTACTGATATTCTTGCCACTGTCAACAAAAAATAACAAAACAAGTTTTTATCGCTGTTGCTGTTGATACGGCAGGGAATTACAATTGTTCGTAGAGATATGCATGTTAGTGGGTTTGTGTTCAAGTAATTATTAAATGTGCCGCCATTTTGTAGTAGGTAAAGGTATTGACTTTACATTCTAAGGTTATAAAGTACTAGTCAGGAGCTTCAAACTGATGTGCCACATGACCCCCATTTTCATATAATTTTTTTCCAAGATCGCGCCCAGCGGCCATCTTGATATTTTCATCTGTCAATTTTAGTCTAAAATATGGTATCCACGCATCAATTTCATTACGTCAAGTTTTAATTTTTTGAATTGATCCGTTTAAGGGAGGGGGACATTAAAGAAAAGCACTGTATATCAATGACATACCTAATAGCTTGTCAGAGATGCTCAATGGTGCATTGTTTTTATATGCTGATGACACCACTTTTGTAAGATCTGATGTATTTTACAAATAACCTCGCTAAAAATAGCTCATTATGCAAATCCGACCTTGGTGATTGGTTTGCTGCAAAA